TTTTGAAGCTTCCGCATAAACATTATGAAGATCACATCAAAAATGTAATTTGGAAATTTTTTGTCTCGTACGTACGTATGTACGTTGTGAGGGGTGGTCAAATACCCTTAGCATATTTTTTTCATTTATTTTTCTTATTATGTATTTTGTATTAGGCTTCAAAGTTGCCTTTTTAGTAAATTAGATTAAGATTAGCATAACCAGTTGAGGACTGGTAATTATAGCCAAACATCTTTACCTTATTTAGGATGGACGTGAACATTTGAATATTTGAACATTTGGACATTTGGACATTTGAACATTTGAACATTTGGACATTTGAATATTTGAATATTTGAATATTTGGTGTTCCTTAAAATATTCAAATGTTCAAGGCTTGGCAAGAGAAGCCATAATTAAAATTAGAAAACCTGTTATATTTACTTGAGCACGAAACCTATAAAAGCGCTGACTTTTTGCCCTAATAAAGAACAACTCAGTAGAGTTACAACTTTGAAATCATTATAGTAGAAGTTTGTCCTTTAAAAATTATTATTTCCCTTGACCCAAAAACGTTCATAACAAAACCAATTGATAAAGTACTTTCCTGACCCGATATCTTGTTAGAAAATCGTTTTTATTGAAAGCTTCGTTAAGATAGAGTTGGAGTCTTCGAAATTCGAGTAGAAGTGCTCACTCTAGTTATCCAATTCACTTTAGTTATCCAATTCACTCTAGTTATCCAATTCACTCTAGTTATCCATTTCACTCCAAACTTTTATTAAGAGTTACTTACCTGATTAAATTGTTAGCTACATTTAAATACCATGATATTAGTCTAGAGACCTAAATATCACTTATAACAAAACCCATTACCCAAAAGAGAACCCAAGTTTGTATTATTTCACCTTTTTATAGTAGATTAGCTTGCTAACCCTGTGATCCATTGTTAGCAGTATTTATCAAACAATAAAGACCGATCATCGAAATTACCCATGATCTCGTGACATTACCGGCAAAATCAAAAATCTAATCCCAATATTAATTACCTGTGATACAAATTGCCAATCATAGATTAAATTAAATCACCGATCGCCACCCAAATCATGATTTTGTCACACGTAACTCAAAAGACACAATACGTTCGAAATAGAATAGAAAAGTAGTGTTAGTAATAATATCAAAGATATTATTAAGCTAAAATTGCCAGTTTAAATAAGGGAAACTTATTCAAATCCCGGAAACAATATTGCAAGGCCCAAAGAACTTTAAAACCCAGACCAAATCTTTTCATGCCTCTTTCGAAGCCTTCCACCTTAAGGTTTTAGGTGTCTTGAAGCAAAAGATTGAATTAGTTAGAGTTTAGCTTAGTCAGATTAGCTAGTTTTAGTTCAAAATCATTAGTCACGCCCTTCTCAATTGGTGGTGACTTCAAGATATCTACTTCTAACCTCACACCTATTTTTTTTTTTAAAAAAAAAAAAGAGAGAGAATTAATTATTACACAATAGACAAAACGACCTATTTTTTTTAACTTCCTGTCAAGCTATGTCAGATTTAGACCATCTTGAGAACAATAGGACCATCGATGGGGAACCGATAATCAATGATGATTTTCAAGTTCCACTAGCAAACCAAAATCAAGCCTATGACCTTCTCCGGGAGATTGCGCAAGCCTTTAGAGAAGTGGCCATTCATAATGTTCCTAAAATTCATGGGAAAACAACTGGGTTCATATAAAAACCTTTAAAGGAGAAGAGGATAAAGACCCAGTCGAGTAGATTGAAGCCTTCGAGAGAGCAGCAGATTCCAATAACTGGGCCCACGAAAGAAAAATTAAAATTGCCTCGGGGCACCTATCGGGAATAGCAGCCAGTTGTTACAATGACCAAAGAGAAAATCTATTGTTCTGGAACGACGAAGATAACCCGAAAGACAGTTTCATTCAAACCTTCACCAAGTACTTTGCCACTCCGGAACATAAGCACCAATGGCAGTTAGAATTAACCACCTTAAGCCAGAAAGTAAAAGAAAAAGTAGACAAATATGCCTACCAATTTAAAAAACTTTTGAAGAGAGTTGATTCCGATCGTCAGATACCTGCCACATACGTTGTTAGAATGTTCATGAGAGGTCTCTATAGAAAAATCGCTGCATTAATGTTCGCAGATGACTTTGACATATTGGACGAAGCTGTTGCAAAAGCAAGAAAAATAGAAGCTGGTCAATATTATAAAAAAAAAAACCAAAAGGAACCTACTAATCAAGTTGTCGATGAGCTAACACAAAAAATGCAGCAAATGGCCACAAATTGTAAAAGATTAATAGCAGCTTTGGCCGCCAGGATTGAGCCTACCCCACTCTGGACACCAGCCAATACATATCAAGCCCCACCATGACAGTACCAGCCCAAACAACCAAGAAACAAAGGTATTGTATGCTATAGGTGCGGGGAAAGGGGCTACATCGCCAGAAACTGCCTCTCAGAACAACAAGGCTCCCAACGACCTCTAGCAGACCATAATAGGCCCGCTTCAACCACCAGAAATATAAATCTATGTGATATATATGATACTAGCACAAGAGATGAAGCATATGCTATTAAACGAACCAAAAGACCAGAGAACGAAACAAATTGGAATAATCGATTGAGAAAAAGGGTTGCATTAGAGTCTAACATGGTGCCTCGGACAATTTAAACACCCCAACCAACCCCTATGGAAGAAGATGCACCTACCCAAGCCCCAGTTCAACCACAACCTGAAGTACCTAATAGAGTTAGGCATAGACGGGGCCCCTCACGTGTAGACTCAACGCCTCCATACAATATTGCTGAGGACTTTCTAAACCAATGTGCTAATGCTACGTATACCCAACTATTGCAAGTCCCAAGACAGAGGCAAAACTTGGCCCAAGCTCTACAACGCCCAATTATTACCATATTAGAAGCTACTAACTTTGCAGAAAACAAACCCCATCAAAGAACCATGGCAGCTAAATGCTATGTATGAGTCCAAAATAATCCAATTTTAGTAGTTTTGGATTCAGGGGCTGTGGTCAGCATTATATCAATAAAGTTAGCAAAAAAACTTGGGCTTACTATTACAGAACCCTCAAACACCGTTGTTATTACAGCTAGTGAGGCTAGAGAACATGCATTGGGCAAGATACAGGAAGTAAAGCTAGCTGTGCAAAATGCACTAATACCTATGGACTTCCAGGTTATAGAAAACCCGAAAGAAATGATGCTCCTTGGCATCAATTGGTTCCAGAAGGTCTGTGCTCACCTCTACTTCGATGAAAGAAAATTATTCATCCAATACTTGGGTCAACAATTGGAGATCCCAATTTACCAAGCTAAAGAAGATAAGCAAGACCCACCTCAAGACAACTACGATGAAGATAATGACTTTTTCGACCTCTATGAGGAAGAAAAAGATCTAGAAGAGGTTGAAAGTTATCACACAGATGAAGCTGAGATGGATGAATCAACACTTAACCCCTACGAAGATATAAATAACCCTGCTATCTACCTAACTGACATAGAAGAGATCTCTATTCCCGGCGAAAAACTTCAAGCTGAATTAACTCTTGATCAAATAATGGAGCAATTAGTAAAAGTAAATGCTCTAAACCTGGAAAAGAAAAAAGAAGTCATTCTTACTTTAAAAAACTTTAACACTTTATTTTCAACCGGGTTAGATAAACTGGGTTGTGCCATAGAAGTCCAACACGAAATTAACACCGGAGAAGCAAGGCAAATTAGGCAATCGGCTTATCGAATCGCGCTGGATAAACAAGATTTCTTGGACAAAGAAATCAAAATACTACTGGATAATGGGCTCATTTATGAGCTAAAGAGCGCCTGGACATCCCCTAAAAAAATGGCAAGCTACGCTTATGCGTAGATTATCGAAAACTTAATTCTGTAACAGCAAAAGACGCGTATCCCCTACCACATATCGATGATATGTTGGACTTATTTAATAAATCTGAGTGGTTCTCGAGCCTTGACTTAGCCAGTGGGTACTGGCAGATTCTAATGAAACCCGAGGACCAGGAGAAAACCGCATTTATTACAAAGCAAGGGGTTTACGCGTTCAACGTTATGCCCTTTGGTTTGTGTAATGTGCTGGCTACTTTCCAATGGGCTATGAACCATATTCTACACGAATTCATTGGAAAATATGTTGCTGTATACCTAGATGATATTATCATCTACTTAAAAACCTACCAGGAACATCTACTGCACCTCACAAACGTTTTCTCCAAGATAAAGGCTGCAGGATTAAAATTTAATCCTGAAAAATGTGAATTATTAAAAAATTACATTAATTTCCTAGGTCATACTGTAGGAAGAAATAGAATCTAGCCAGACAAAAAAAGGTAGAGAAGGTTGAAAATTTTCCTCCACCAACTAACCTAAGACAATTAAGAGGCTTTATCGGCCTAGTCTCATACTATTGACGTTTTATAAAAGGTTTTGCAACTATAGCAAAACTGTTACACCAGCTCTTGGAAAAAAATATTCCATATCAATGGGGAAATACTAAGAAACAAGCTTTCGAAACACTAAAAACCCACCTTATAACGGCTCCAGTCCTGAGATATCCAAATTTCGAAAAAACATTCTATCTCTACACTGACGCGTCAGGTGTAGGATTAGGAGTAGTCCTAGCCCAAAAAGACGAGACAAACAGGGAGTATGCTATTGCATACGCCAGCAAAGGACTTACCTAGCCAGAAGAAATTACTCTGCCACTGAACTTGAATGTTACGCCATGGTGTGGGCTGTGAAGTACTTTCACCATTACCTAGAGTATAAACTCTTTGTTATAGTTACTGATCACTCCACTCTAAAGTGGCTCCACAAGACAGCACTAAAGGGAAGAAGGGCCCGGTGGATTTTACGCCTACAACCCTACATTTATATCATATTGCATAGGGCAGGAAGAGTACACAACAATGCTAACGCATTGTCTAAAATGATTGAAGAATTGCCACAAGATAAAGAGGACAAAATGGTTAATGATAATAGTCAGATAAAAAAAACAAATAATAAAGAAAAAGAATATCAAGTTGAGTTTCTCCAAGAAAACCCAGAGACCCAAATAGCTGCCGTAGAAGAGATCGAGGTTTCCAGGTTATTGCTTAAAATTACTTTCCCAAAGATCTTGATGAAGAAATGGAGATGGTTTCCTGGAACCCTAATGCTGAAAACAGATGGGAAGAAGATATAGACAGTAACATTGAGTATGATTTTCAAGAGTATGAATTGGAAGAAAACTATGAACAAGAAAGATACCTACAAGACCTTTTGACCGAGTTGGCTATAGAAGCCGAATTAGAGATAACCTAGTCAACCGTGAATGGGTATCAGAACGAATATATACAAAATACTGGTCCTGAAGATGAGGTTCAGCCTATGGAATTGGATGAAGTATACCTTATCGACATACCTCAGTGGGGTGAGCTAACTACAGGGCTCGAATTTGAGGAAACCAATGAATATCATGAAAACGCTGTTGCTTAATTTGGTTTTGACCCAAGCTGACACGAGGCTGATTATAGTGACCTCTTCCCAGGAATTCCAGGCATGAACTTTAACTCCGAAGACTGGTCCCAACCAATGGATACTTACATTGACTGGGAATACTATGACTTCCAATAATGGTAAAAAAAAAAAAAAATCAATCAATATTCAAAAAAAAAAAAATTACGTGTCGCCAACATACATACTTTTTTCTTCCTTTTATTATTATTAAATTCAGACCTGACATTAGAGCAAGGATGGTCAGGATGAAATAGGGCAAGTTGTGGGGCCCTATTTAAAAACATTGAACTTAATTTATAATGTCGAGGAGTATAATTAGTTAGGAACAATTTATCAACCTTTCCAGGTCTATATGCTCTAGACAAGGAACGAACTAAGATGACCCTTGAACTCTCGACATGACTACACGAAATTGGCCCCTAACAATTTTTGCCTTTTACTCTTGGGATAAAAGAGCCGCAGCAAAAGACTAATCAAAAAAAAAGAGAAACCTCATAAATGATGAATCTAGTGATCTAGAAGGAAGGTCGAAGATAAAAGTAAAAATTTAAAACCATACTTAGCTACTAATACGCAACATACAGAAAATACAATCGCAAGGAAGGAAAAGAACAAATTGACTAATCCCTCCAAAAACCTCAAATTTACTGGACCCGAAACTTCAAAAAAAAAAGCTAGAAAAAATAAATTATAGTAGTCAAAAGGAAGGCATGGAACATTCAAGTTACGCAACAAAATGAATTATTGCAGGGGCAATACCAAAGAAGGACACAACTAGAACAGCTAAAGTGAAGAGAAAATTCAATGAAACAGAGGTTGGGAATTAAGTAAAAATGAGAAACATGTAGGAAATTGAAGGTTAAGAATCCATTAAGGCTAAGAAAACCTTTACTAGACTATTGGTTTGAGCAGTACTAAATATAATAGAACTTATGAAAATTAGACGAAGGCTAGTTAATGAGAAACTGGAGTAACGATTATATTGGGAAAGAGAACTCTGGCAGAAGCAAAAATAATGACATACTGCAAAAGGTGAACATGGTAAAAAAAAAAAAAAAGTAAAAAAAAGTAAACTACGGAAAATAGAAGTTAAATACATATTAGTACTACAAGAAATTTGAAAAACCCGACGTTAAATTCAATTCACCCCAGGTTGTCGGTATCCTGGCAAAATTGAAACTGAAAAAGACTGAACATTCAGACTTGCGATATTTAGGGGGAAAATGGACCACCAACTATACTCCACATTGTTAAATTACTTACAACATCGGCAAATTCCGCAAACTTACGATGAACGACAAAGAAGGCGTTTAGAAAAACAGAGTAAATTCTTCCAGGTCAAAACGGGGAATTTATACAAGAAGAATAAGAAGAAGGAGGAAAAGCCTCTTAAAGTTCTACAAGAATGAGAAGTAGAACAAATTTTAAGCCTAGTACACAACCACCCAACAGGAGCTCATTTCATGAAGGACATTGTGTTTAATAAAGTCCGCAGCCATTATTATTAGCCTCAGATGTACCATAATATACGAGAATATGTCAGAACGTGTGAACGCTGCCAAATGCATGGGAACAAAAGATCCAAGGAATTGTTACACCTAATATCTGTTCAAGCCCCATTCAATGAAATAGGCATTAATATAGTCGGTCCATTACCTATAACGCCCGATCTAGCAAATACATTATAGTCGCGACCGACTATATGACCAAATGGCTGGAGGCTTGTGCAATTCCTACAGCCAATGCACAGACCGTGGCTAAGTTCATCTATGAAGAGATAGTATGTCGACACGGATGCCCCAGCATCATACTATCTGATCAAGGGTTGCATTTCAATAACCACGTAGTAGATGAACTTCCTGCAGCTATGAGTGTTAAACATCATAATTCTACCTGTATTACCCACAAACAAATAGGCTTGTAGAGCATTTTAACAAACCGCTATGCAACGCAGTAGCGAGATTAGATGCTAACATGACGGACTGGAACTTACTCATCCCACCAATTTTGTTTGTCTACTATACAGCGAAACAAGCTATGACGCGGGAAACTCCTTTCTATCTGGTATATGGAAAGAGTGCTAGATTACCTATCCACTCTAGTGTATCTGAGGATCTCTTAAACGACACTATCATACAGTGGTTGTATGAGATCGACAGTGATCTACCCGAGGCCTGTGAGAATACCCTGCACCGAATTAAGAGAGAACAGCAGAAACAAAAAAGGCGTCACGATCAACAAATCAAAGCCACTACCGACTTTAGCTTTGGTAAGAAGGTCCTAGTACTAGACGCCCGAAAATTGGGGACCCACAGCCATAAATTAACACCAAAATAGAAGGGACTATACTATATATAGAGTTAATATCCGGATTTATTTTTATATCCGGATTCAATTAATAATTAAAAATATAATCCGGTTTAATCCAGATATAATTAAATCCAGATATATAATTAAATTCAGATATAATAAATCCGGATTTATAGTTATATCCGGATTTATGATTATATCCAGATTTAATTATATCTGAATTTAATTATAATCTGGATTTAATTCCATTGGTAAAATTTAAATTTGTTAAAAAACAAGGACAAACTAAATAAAGTATCGAAATCTACTAACACCTAAGTGTTTTTTCGAATTGATTGGCCTTTTAAATTTTTTTCAATAATTTGCAAGCAAATGTGCTTT